TTTGGGCTCTGGGTGCAGTAAGGTGAGGGCTAATAGGGATTAAGCAGGAGAAGTATGTGTCAGTTTCGATGCTTGTAATCTGGAGTGTTCTTTTTGGAGTTTCTGAGCAGGTATAAAACGCAGATTAAGAAGCATTACTGATAAGTGACAGCGGGGGCCTGGAGGTCTGTTTTCACGCAGGGTCCAACACTGACCTATTTGACATGAACTGCCGGGCGAAACAGCACGTTTAAAATCTCATCTGAAGGGAATGAATTCCGTGTTTTGAAGGACAAAAATAAAAAACTAAAAGGAGCTTGCTGGTGAAATGAAATAACAACAAAGACAGTGAGCAGGAGCTGAAAGAGGGCCCTGAGTCAGACGGATCTGTCAATAGCTCCACGCTCGATGTGGCATAAAGGGGCCTTCTGGTTGACTGCCTCTGTTAAGGCCGACCTAAGATGTCTGAACTTTGCTGACCTCATACACACTATTGCATTGTAGGCCGTGGCTTTAACCTCAACAGCTTGCATTGCCCACAGCGGCCCATTATAGAGCCAGTAATGATGTGGAGGATTCCCCAGCAGACTATTATTAATACAGTGATTCTCATCCGGCAGGAATAATGATACTGGATTAGAATCCCATCTGGATTACATCCATGATGGTTCTGTTATGGATGAGCTGTTGTCAGGAAATCAAAGTAATCAGCGGGACGAGATTTCATGTCCTGCATATTGCGGCTTTTAAAAAGGAGTATTTAGTTAGAACTAATGTTTAATAAACAACATTATCTAGTCAATAGTGGAAAAAATAAGCACTTAAGTAACGCACAGTTTGAGGTACTTTGTACTTAAACTCCACCACTTCATAAGGAAATATTTCTCATAGTTAATCATTTCTTTGCAGATTGATATTTTACATAAAAAACATTGTCTTATAAAATATGATGCCTTAATGCATCAATAATGATAATATAATAATTTAATATGATATATTATTCACTCCACATAGTGAGTGCTTTAAGTACTTTAAGTGCATTTTACTGACAAACCTTTTGCCCTTTTGTTGAAGTAAAATTATAAATGGAGGAATCGTGAGGGAGTATTTTTACATTGTGGTGTTGCCACTTTTATATAAAAGGATAAAAGTAAAAGTATCTACTTTCTTCTTCCATCACTACAAATAAAAGCCAAATAATTCTGCCACAGCAGGTAAAAAATGCCAAGATGAACATTTAGAAATCAAATTTATCTTCTCTGTTTGCTTTTACTTCCTTGTTTCTTTTTAAACCAAATGAATTAAAACTTTTACTGTATTTCTGCACTAGAAAAAGATATTATTCAGGAAAAGTAGAGGTTAAAGTTCCTCATTTCATCATATCTACCTTTTAAATGTGCAGTGCCATCACTAATTTAGAGATCTTGAACATGCCTCTGTGCAATGCTTCACAATGAGGGCAGACAGGGAAGGAAGTGTTGGGTTATTGTGGCATGAGCTCATCTTCTAGCTTTCTTCAAACTGACACAAAAACATGTCCGTCTGAATTATTGTTGGGTAAAGATTGTTGAGGAAAAGAAAACAGCATTTCCCATCATTCTGCATCTTATAAAAAATATCCAGACACCTCGCTTCAACTTCTCCGGCAGACTCATGCAGGCATCTGTGAAACAAGGCCCTCCACAGTTTCTGTATAGCCCGCAAAATACTTCCAGAGTAATAGGAAGTGAGGTCATTTGAAGCTGTTGTCTTTGATAAGATTTCTTTCTCTGCTATGTGTCCAAACAGTTGAGCAATAAGTATGAAATGACCCGATATGCTTCCGCTTCATACACTTTCACTGAAGCCAGATAGAAATACCAGAGTCAAATTACTGTGTGCTTAGAGAAGACAAAGGCTAAAAACACATTCACTCCAGACCCGTAACTGCATCAAAGACCAATTAAACAACCAGATATCGAATCATTTTTGGACTTATTTCCAACCATCTGAACACTAAATTAAAAAAGGATTCGACATAGCTTGAAATCACATGGAGAATCTTAAACCAGTGGTTACCAACCTCAGGGCTGGGACCCCTCAGAGGGGTCAGATGATAAAACTGAAAGGGTCATGGGAAAATAGAAAAAAAATATATATATTTTTTTTCTGTTATATGTACACAGCTTTTCTCTAATCTCTGTTTCTTCTTATTAAATATTGTATATCTTAAAAAATATTAAAATGAAAAACACTGTGGGAAGACAGCCACTCACAGACACGGACCACTTGTGACGACCGGTTGTAAACGGTTTCATGCTAAACTTAGAACAGTTTTGGGTATTTCACATGAGAGAGCGATTTATGTATTACTTTCTTGTGCTTTTTCTCAGTGGTTTGAAGTGGGCGGGGCTTGGTTTAGCAAAATAAGATGTCACATACCGTGCACCAATCAGGATTCAGAAACATTTGAATGAGAATATGATGACAGTCAGTTGGTTGTTTGGTCACTGTCAATAAAATCGGATAAATCCACACCCACATAGTCCTGATGGAGCACAAAAGTGTTAAATGCTCAATTAATAAGATCTAAAACATGCTTTTTTTAAAAACTCATTAGGTTATGAATATCTAATGTTATAGAGACACACTTAATATTTTGTTTTATAGGTGCTTTAAGGCATAAACCAAGAAAGATTGGAAACCTAAAATGTATTTAACAAAAGAAACCCTGTATTTATTTATCATTAAACTAAGCCAGCGTAAATTCTTATTTCAACTTTAGACAAAAAACAGCCTCAAAACAGCAAGAACAAACATCAGATTAGGATCAAATTGACCGTTTAAGCAGTTTGACACTTAAAATTTCCACAATATAATATTCTACTCACAAACCTTCTTATGAATTACAAATATGAGCTAGAACTACCCATTGTTACTGCATACTGCAGGCTGCACAGTGACAGAATGATAAATACTTAATAATGAGTTTTTGCATGTCTTCAACTTTATGTCAAGTCCTCTGATAATTTGGAAATTCATGTAGAAATGTCTGTGGAGGTGTTACACCCAACTCAGAGTATTAGGTTGATAGGCTATTACTCGCAAAGAGGCTTTAATAAAGTCAATTTAGTCTCACAATGGGAACAATTGTGAGCAATTCCTCTGAGAAAACAAACGGTTTGTTGTTCTCTGCCTCTCTTCGCTGATGGCTGGTCAGCTGTGCAGGGATTTCATACACAGACAGATTTCCTCTTTTATGGTCCTGTAACTATGTAATATTTTGTGCAGTTTTTAGCGTGATGGTTTTTTTTTTTTTAGAAAAAGAGAGTTGGATTCAATAAAGGTTGATCAACACGCAGCCTGGAATGTTCTGAGCATTTGTTCAAGGCTACTTACAGATGAAAGTAAGCTTTTCATAGTGTTTAAATCCTATTACAACTCCAAACGCAGTGGTGTTTTACTTCCCTGTTCACAGCCACGAAGCTGACTAAACATTTTCCACCTTCAGCATTAATTAACTCATAATAAGCTGGAACACACTGTCAGTCCATCTACGGACATTTAAGGTGGTGGTGGTGGTGGTGGTGGTGGTGGGGGCTCTTTCCACGAAAATAAAATAAATAAATGTATTCCTCATGGATAAGCTGGACTTGAGTGTTCATATTAGGCTTTAGAAAGATTTCTTAACCCTGGTGAAATGCCTCAGTCTCAGCCTGTTAATCAGTTTGAAAGTGAGACAGTATTTTGAGGCCTGTGGCAGGGCTACACTTCACTAAGCCTGCTGGAGGGGGAGGAATAACATGTTCCAAGCCCCAGAAGCAAGACAAGGTTGAAACTGTTGATGCCTGCAATTTATTTTGTGAACTATAATGTGTTTTGTTGTTGTTGTTGTTGGTTTTTTTATACTGGAGAATGTCTTTTCTCCACTCGTAAATGTGTTCTTGCTACATCATTTGGATGTTTGACACTAAAAGACTGTTTTCACGTTCATCTGGTGAAGAGGGAAAGTTTCTCTGTTCTCACCTGAAATCTCAGCTTTAGATGTATGAGCATAATTTGTGACATAACAACTAGTATGGAGCCAATCGTGGTCCAATATACGACGTACACATGTTTAACGTGGAAACTTGAAGCCTCAAGGAAACATACACACACAGAATGGACTTTTTAGTGAAGTATACATCTTGTGTCTTAGTGTTAATATTTACATATTCAGAGAGGGTTTTTTTTCAATGAGCAAAAAGGAGTATATATATATAATAAAAACAATTAACTAGGTAATTTAAGGAAAATCCATGTTAGACACAAATGATCAAATCTTTTTATATGAGATTTTGTCTTGAAACATGTCTTCAGGGATCTTTAAACAGTGTTTTTAATTTTTTTTAAAAAAGAAGCAAAATGTTGATATTAGACACAAAAGTGGATTTTAACCTTTAGATAAACTACTTAAAAATGTAAAATGTGAATAAAAACAAATCAAACAACTTTGCACCTGACATATAGAGTCAGTATAGCAGCTGGTAAATAAACACTATTATTTGTCAGCTGTATAAGAGTCCATCCATTACTCTTTCTCCAATATCAAAAGGTAAAAGCAGTTTCCTGCAGGCAGTTAATGTAACCTGTATATTAAAAACGACTCTTATTTAACATGATTAGTATTGTTCAGCTATTAATTATCCTCCAAATGATATAAATAACATTTGTAGTAGGCCTACATACCAAGCTCTTATTAAGTTTCAAGCTGTAGCTCCTTTAAACCATCTGTGTGTTTGTTTTTGTCAACTGAGCGGACGACATAAAGGATCGGCGGTGTTTTCTTGTTATCACCTACTTTTCGTGACATTTCCGTTTCGACCCTGCTCTCTATACGCCTAACAGACAGTCAACACAGTTTGAAGAAGCTTCCATGGCCAAAAAAAACTTCTAATAATAATAAATTATAATAAAGCTTATATCGCGACACATGCAAGTGCAGTTTTGTGCAAAAACTGGGATTTGAATTATTGTCTTGGCTTATAAATTGCAGAGAGTAAGCTGATTTCCAGTCAGTAGTAAATATAAAGTGTGCATGGACAGATGTAACCAATAGGCGGTACTGTGCCATTCTCCATGAAGCTTTCTCCATCTCCAGCCCTGAGGACAACACTGTCTCTGCTTTGGTTTGCTTCCTAGTTGACCTAAATACTGCATCTCTCGGTCCCTCAAGGCAGACGATCACACAGCCTACGAGAGAGGCTCCGAAGAACGAGACGGTCTAGAGGTTGTTGGGTTTTTTTTTTTTCCTGGAGTAATTCATCGTCCCTTCAACGAGACATTTCTGTCTGGATCTCTTACAGCTGAGGTTTCGGCTCTCTCTCTTGCTCTCATGGGCAGCGTCGGGATGGTTTACGCGGAGCAGAAGACACTCCTGGCTGGAATCAAGACACATTCCCGGGAATGATTTTATAAACATCCAAATCTGTTGGGTTTTTTGTTTGTTTGTTTTAAAAACAACGTGCCTGGAGGACGGCCAGAAAAAGTCGAAATGCTTGACGATAAAGCTCCGAGATCGAAGCTAGGTCCTCCGTCGAGAGGTTCGTCTTTTTACATTGAGAATTTACTGGGGACTACACACAGAGCAGCTTCAGCGGAGGAGCAGGCGGAGACCCCGAGCTTCAAAGTTACCGTCCACAGCCCGGTGATCTGCCCGGTGATCTGCCCGGGACTGGAAACAAAACGTGTGGGCGACAGTGAAGCGCTGAGCTGGAGCGGGACATCACCAAACACCGCGCACGGCACCTCGAGAAGTGAGTGAATCTGTCCATATCTGTAGAACAGAGTCTGCTCTCATTTGCCTGATAACGTGGTGTAAAAGGGTCGATTCAAATCCGGAAACAAGTAACAGTTACAGATTTAATAGGCTGGTACAATAAAACCCCTCAGTCCGTGCGTAAAAGTCCCGGACTCTGGTTTCTTCAATAGGCCACAAGTGGACATGACACATTTACTGTCCCTTCCTCCATGCGTAAAACTCCCCCAATTATCAGCCTAGTGCGAGCCAACAGTGTTTGGCATCCACACAACAATCTCACTAGTCTGCTGCTTCAAATAGCCCAGCAGTGGAGAGCTGATGCGTATTCATAATGTGTGTAAGGGACAGGGAGCAGGGTGGCGCACATATGGAGCAAACTGTGAGAGATGGCAGATATTGTCCTGCTGCTGGCTCGCTGTGAGCGAACTGAAGCATGAACCGTGTGCACGATTTATGTTGGGTATTTTTTTTTTTCCCACGTTCCTCGTAGGTCCGCCGTACAGGGACGGACACGCAGACTCCGTGCCGACGTGCGACCGGGATTCCCCAACTTCAACGGGGCGGGCGGAGGAGACCGATGAGCCGGAGGAGAAAGGGGACGATAGTCTGACGGATGACAGGGACGAGGACGACGCGCGCTCCTCCTGCTTCTCTCGAGACGACAGCTGTGATACAGGTGCGGCCAGAGTACACTGACACCTCCTGACGTTAAAACATACATAGTCCACCTTTTGCTCTGAGGCCTGCAAAAGAGGGCATTCAACACCACGCATGCGCTCTCCTCTTGAAAGTCTTTTATTCAATTGTTATTACTAAATGTATTACTTTTTAGTCTGGTGGTTTTTATTCTGATAAGCCAGCTGTCTTGACAGGGGGCTTCATCAAGGGCTGTATATATATTTAAGTTTTATATTAAGTTGCAGGGGTGTAGCTAAGAGTTCCTGAGGCTACTGGGAGAAACACTTGAGGCACCACACTGTATTTCATTGTTATTTTCTTGATAAGTTCCCCCATCAACCATGGACGTGCCATCATAAATGATCTACATTTAATATGCAGTTGAGTGAGACAAAGTTATTTGCAGGCTGAATCTGTTCTACACTTTTAAACCAACAGTTAAGCTACACTGTGCTTTGTAAGTTACCTGATACCTATGGCATATTGGCTGATAACAACAACAAAAAAGTGTTAAGTGTCTACAGCCCGTTAGTCCTGCTGCTATCTACAACTTTATTGCAGCCACCACCAAAATTTGATGTTAACATCAAAATATGTGTGTAATATATGTGTTTGTGTGATTGTGTGTGTGTGTGTGTGTGTGTGTGTGTGTGTGTGTGTGTGTGTGTGTGTGTAATGAAAACGAACTTAAATGAAAACAATATAGCATGAATTCTACTTATTAACATCTGCCAGGTTTGTTTTGATGCAGATGACCACCCACCTAGAGCAGAGGGCTCTGTCAGAGGTTTCTGCTTCTTAAAAGGAAGTTTTTGCTTGCCGCCGTCGCCAAGTGCTTGCTCATGGTGGGAACTGTTGGGTCTCTGTAAATTTAATTTATAAAAAGGAGTACGGTCTACATATATCTATATATCTATCTATATATATCTATATATATATAGATATATATATTAGATATTAGATATTAGATATTAGTTCAAGTCATTTTGAATAAAAGTACATTGATTTTCCAGGTATTTAGTTTCCTGGATTGGCCAGAAGATGTTCTCATCTGGTTGTTTTATCAATAAACTATTTCTCAATTGACTTTCTAGATACTTTAGTTTACACTTTATCACAATATATACCGATATCGCGATATAGCCATGACAGATTGTCACCCCATTAAAGCTACACTGTTAGCAGAGTTGCACTTTCAGTAAAATCTCTCCCTCTTCCTCCTCAGGTGACATGAAAATGGCACGAAAGAAGAAGACCCGCACCGTGTTCAGCCGGAGTCAGGTGTTCCAGCTCGAGTCCACCTTCGACCTGAAGCGCTACCTGAGCAGCTCGGAGCGAGCCGGGCTGGCCGCCTCGCTGCAGCTCACCGAGACCCAGGTGAAGATCTGGTTTCAGAACCGCAGGAACAAGTGGAAGAGGCAGATCGCTGCAGACATGGAGGCCAGCAGTGCCATCGTCCCCTACCCTGCCCAGAGGGTCGTCAGAGTTCCTGTGTTGTATCGCGATAGCGTCACCGGGCCCGTGACGCTCACCAGCCTGCCTCAAGTGTCGCAACCAGTGCTCGGTTTCTCCAGTCATATCAGCTATCCATTGACTTCCCACTTCACCCATCCGGTGTCATTCCTAACACCACAGATGACTGGACTGGTGTGACTTTAAGGACCAAGGATAACTGTGACTCTTTCGTGAAACCAATTAATCAAATAAAGATGCTGCAAAAAACATTTTAGTTCAGAGCCTGTCAAGTCAGACAATAACAGTCATCCTGTGTTTAACTGCTTCTTTTAGGGATTTTCTAGAAGGAACTTCAATAAATTAATCCAGATTCACATTAAAGGTGAATCACTCATCTCGTAGGCAATCATGGTCCTTCAACAGCTGCTTTAAAATCCTTTAAACAAGAAACTTTCACCCCTTTAGTAGCATTGTTTTTTATTTTGAACGTAAGTAATTTTGAGATTCAGTTTCACACCAGGTCACACAGGTTTCAAGTATAGCTCTATTTAGTCCTGATTTTTCACAGAAATTGTATGGATGATCCACACATATGGGATCAAATAAGGGTCAATACGATTTTGAGCTTGTGAAATGAAGCCTTTGTAAAACTGCACGAGAAGTTCAAGATTGAGGATGTGTAGGGGGAAAAATCTGTAGTAGATTTAGAATGAAGAATTAGTGCACAAATATTATCAACGCTCAACACAAAGAAAACATCTGAGTACAGATTCAAAGCAGGAAACTGTGAAAGTCAAACTGTCTGTTTTTAATCTGTACTCTGGTGGTTAGTTCAGCTTTTTTTTATCAGAGTAACCTCCCCACAGAACACACATATTATTACACACGCACGATTTCTCATGCAGTTTTCTCTTTATAAAGGCTGAAATACAACCTTTTCTCAACGTTACTTCATGAGCCCTGAACCTTTTTGACCCTTACGTGAGCTCATACATATATATAAGTTGGGGAATATGATGCACTGTATCCTTGGACCGGTCTACAAAATGTAGAAACTTGATCATTTATGCAAAAGGATTTTGTTGTTTGTGACTTTTAATCTTTTGATAGCTGTAAGCACGTAATTAGCAATATTCATTGACACAATTTTTTTATTTTTATTTAATGAGGATTTTAATACAGACTTTTGTACACTGATGTGTTCACGTGTGAATAAAATATATGCACAGACTGTGTTGTGGTTTCTTCCTTTGTCACATTGTCTGCATTCATTGCAAAGTAAGACATTTTGCTTTTAAATGGCTGATGAACATAGGCTAAATTAAGATATGTTCATGTACAAATATTGGATTAAAGCGACAATAAAGTTTAAAGTAGAACAGGCACAAGATTATATTTAAGCATTAGAGAGGCTGAAGACCTTTGCTGTGGAGGAAACTATGTTTTTAAGCTCATGTGGCCCCTGAACTCTTCCTTTAGGTCCTATAATTCTCAGGACCCCAGTAGTTAGATAGTTGTCATGTGAATGTGACATGCTTAAAAAAAATAAATAAATCAACAATATATCACTCTCTGACATCTCATGACCCACTTTGGATATCAACCACCCTCACAGTAATGCAGACTCCGACTCTGAAGTTCAAAAGGAGCTCGGTTTTAGGCGCATCAAGCGAGCAGGCATGAATTTTGATGACAGAAAAGAGTTTAAAGCAGCAATATGGCAGCCAGACGTAAATCTGCAACCCGCCCTCATCTGCCCCACAACCCTCACCAATCAAAAGCTGCTAAACCGCAGTCTTCCGGGTCGTTGAAGAACGTCGCACCGGCTCCTCTGGTCTGTGCGCTAGTTGCAGCCGAGGAGCAATGGTGCTCGGAGCGTCCGGAGGCGCGTCGGTGTTTCGGAAATATCGGAGGAGCAGATGAAATGCCGGGGAATATGAGCAAAGAGGACGCCCCGAGTCGGAGCGCTTCTTTGACGTTCACCATCGACAACATCCTCAACCTGAAGCAGCGGGACGACGGAGACCTGGACGGGTCAAAGGAGCAGAGGGACAGTGGATGTAAGAAGGATTTCCAAGCGCGGTGCGATGAAGTGTGGGACGTCCGGAGGAGGCACGGCAGCGGAGCAGAGGAGACAGGTAACTGGGAATTTACACAGAAAGTGTGCAGTAACAAAGTTTCTCTCCAGTGAGCTTTATTTACAATGACTAATACAGTTTTAGAAGGAGTAGACACATCTTGAGGCTGATAGGGCTGTTTAGAGGTAAACTGATGCGTAAATGTGGATCAAAAAACAACAAACTGATAATTTACTTCAATAGTTTTCACTAGCTGTGGAGCTGGCGGACCACTGGGTTATGTATTAACCAGATTACAGTAATTATTAGGCAGCTTCTTCGCATGTGTTTGCACGCAGAAAAAACAAACAAACAAGTGTGTAAGTTTGCCTTTACCGCTGCATCAAAGCACGTTGTGTCGCTTTGTTCACAGCGCAAACGAAGCCCAGAGTCCATCGTGCGGACCGCGGGGAAAACACACCGCCGCTGACCGCCGGCTCCTGTCCCGGGGCGCACAGCGCGCACACCGCCGAGGACGCGTCCGAGCAGCAGCAGCAGCAACAACAACAACAAGAGGCCAGCGCGGACACCAAAGCCATGGTCAAGAAGAAAACGCGCACCATCTTCTCCAAGAGACAGATATTTCAGCTGGAGGCCACTTTTGACATGAAGAGGTATCTGAGCAGCTCGGAGAGAGCGTGTCTCGCGAGCTCTCTGCAGCTCACCGAGACCCAGGTTAAAATCTGGTTTCAGAACCGGCGCAACAAGCTGAAGAGACAGCTATCCACGGACATGGAGGGACCGCTGGCCGCCGAGCACCTCTCGGACGCAGGAAAGAACGTACAATTACCGACTTTTTACAAAGACAGCAGCCTGCTGGGTGGATGTTTGTTACCCATGCCTTTCCCCGTCGTCTACCCGACTGCGAACGCCGCGCCTTACATCTACTTCTCCAACACTGGCAAATATTTTGGCCTGTTTGACGCAGACTGATGGTTTTCTGTTGGGGGGGACAGCAGTGTGTGTGGACAGTCGGATATACAGTCGGCCCTGTCTGTCACAGAGGCCTGTCACTTTTTATTTTTATTTTAAACTTTGATGTCAACATATCAACTAATCCAAGACATGCATGTGCCACTTTGTTGTCCTTTTTCAAATTTTTATTATTTTTATTATTATTATTATTATTATTATTATTATTATTAAATGCATAAAAAAATCCGATTATAATGTTTGTTATAAAAATGTGCATGCATTAAAAGTTCCTCTGGGCAGTTTTATTTCGCGCTGTAATGTCATCTGAATGAATGTACGTTAATGTTTCCTCTGGGAGTGATGCTGCAGAAACTTTGTCACCCCGAAATAATATTTGTTTTTGTTTTTTTCTTTCAACTCTTGTGTTGAACTTTAAAAAAAGGTTTCTGTGGAGCAACAGTTCAATAGTATTTATATGGCATTATGATTATGATTATTATTATTATTATACACTTTTATCGTTCGTTTCCACTTGACCTTTCATATGACAGACTGTTAAACTGTGAATACAGTTAGTATATCAAGACAATGATGAATTTTGCAATAAAAAGTGTAATATTTGCAATTTGCAAGTGTTTTCACTCAAATTGAATCAAAAAGACAAAAAAGACGTGCAAGTAAATTTCCACATTTGATTATTCATTGTGTTTCAATGTGTACTTTTTTTCTATGTGCATTTGGTTCCGCATAATAAATTAAAGAAAGTTAATGGTTAATAGTTTCCTATAACATAATGTTGACTGTTGTATGTGCAGAAAATGGACGGAGAGAAATGCGTTGTGAAACAATCCGGAAGCGCTGAAGTTAATTTCATATAAACACAGTTTGAATTAAGAATAATCGTTTACATTAACACAGTTCATTTCCTTGATTATTTATTTATTTTATTCATTTATTCATCCGCTTTAGCTTGCAAAGCCCCAGCCTGCCTACATAAACATAACTCACATCATCATCATCATCATCATCATCATCAGGTGCCTCTCTACTTCCAGTGAATTTCTCAATTGTTGTTAAATTTTCACTTTTCTACAAGTTGTTCAGTACAGTTCGTGCAGTTTCCTGTCTGATTCTTAGTTTGCACCAAAGATCCGTTTAAATCTGCGTTTTAAAGAGTTTTTAAACGTCAAATATTACATACTCAGGGGTTTGTGTATCATCTGATTGTTGGAACTGCGTTTAGATATTTAAGTATGTAAACTACTCTCAACCAAAGGCCCAATCTGAACACCATTGGCTTAAGTAAAGTTTAAGTGTAACTTTGTTAAGACTGATTTAGTGGGCTGAAGACAGCATTTCTATTCTGAAATTAATTGTAGGGTTACTAACTAAGATGACATTTTTTAAGCTGCAAAAGACCACTGCTGTCATAAAAAAATGTAAACAATGGACTTTAACTGAGAGGGTTATAAAATATTAGTTTCAAAATAAAATTCTTAAATAATATATAATCACACGCAGTAAACACAGATTGGATGGTTATAAAAATTTCAGTTATATCCATATTTATTTTATTTTTTTACCATTTTATTTTCAGCTAAAAACTATAAATAGTCTAATTTTCTGATTTGAGATGAACATCGATAAAGGCAGAAAAGGGATGTTTTTAGTGAGCTGCAGTTCAAACTGGGACAGAAAAGTAAAATGTCCAGAACCGTTGATTTATTATCACAATATAGTAAAAATGTAAAGAACCTCACATTACAACCTTTAAGGACATCTACTCCCCTACACCAACATGTAACACTAATGTATATTGATATTTGGCTCTACTTAAGATTATTTACTGACTAATTAAGTTATTTAGTGCATTAAAGAAAACAGGAAGAGAAAGAAACATGGCAGAAAATCTACATTTATATGTGGCAGTCACAAAAAGTTCCTATCAAGTCACTGCTTTAAGTGCGTAAACATAAGCACAAAAAGGATATTTAAAAAGTTTATCCTTTTAACTTTATACTGGAAAAGTCTTAACACATAATTACATAAAAGAGTGAAAAAGTGAAAAAATTCCAAAAGATATACTTTAGTTATCAGAGAGGTTGGGCTATAGGACAACTTAGGACATAAGTTTGGTTGACTGCTTGTAAATGTTAAAACAAAAAGTATAAAATCTTTGAGGCTCTTTGTGAGTCTATTACATTGTGGGAATTTACAATAAAGTTACAATTAGAAGTATAAGAAACAAATTAGATGGAAAAAACATTTCTTTATAAAAGGATAAAGCTACTACATAATTACACACTGAGCACTAATTGTTGATCAATTTACACACCATCCGCTTTGTGTCACATATCTACATTTTTACACCTCACAAGCAAATCTGAGCCAAAACTCTTAGCTAAAAGACCAGGAGTAAGCTACTGAAACATCAGGACACTGTGACTCATGGTACATACTGTAAGTCACTGGGGCAGCGAGTATTTGCATGCACATCGTTTATAGACAACGTCAGTGCTTTTGGATTTTAAAGCAAAGCTCCTCACTCAAGTACAAAAAAAAAAAAATCTGCCCAAATCAGAGAATGCTTAGAAGTTTTGTTCTGTAGGTGATAACACAGTCAGAGGTTCCCCACTATGAGTAATGCATCTCTGCAGAAAGAGTGAGAGAAATAAGAGAAATGTGTATTTAGGTGGACTTGCATCAGTGCTTCTGGAGAGATTTTTCCTAAAGGGCCCAGCAAGCTGCACTTACACACCGTTTCCGGGTCACTTCCCCCTTCAGTGCTGGAGCCTCTCACTGCTTTCTCCCTGTCACAGCCATTCAAGGCCCCGTCACTGTTAACCTGTTCACTCAACCACTTAGTCTGCCTGCAGATCTGTTGTTTTCTCTACTAAATTCCTGTCTACCTTTGCTGTTCATGTTGAGTTGTACTGTATCTCATTATTCCCACAATAGGACTGGGATGAACACAACAAGTTGTTGTTGCTCTGATGTCAAGTTTAGAAACAGTTTTTAGAATATGTTGCGTCTAAAATGCCAAAAGGAAAAGAGGAAAGAAAGGAATAACTCTAACAGTGCTTTTGATGCTTTTACACATTTACTGTATATGCTATCTGTCTTGCTAAAATTCTGAAATAATTAAAAGAAAGGGAGGATAGAGGTCAACTTTAAAACTTGAAGAACTAAAAGAGGATAAACAGATATATGAGAACATATACTGAACAGACAGTTCTTTTTTTTGCTACTGTGTACAAAGTACTTCAAACTAAAGTTTTCCTTTTCATTTAACTGCAACATCCTTATAATTGCAGCGCTATAATATATAACAAGTTTAATTATATTCTAATTTTTAACATATTCAGTAACATGATACCAACTGTAAACTATTGCAGATCCTTCTAAGCCTTTAACGCTACTCAGTTGAATTGGATTTTAGTGTCTTTTTGTCCAGCAGTCCATTGAAAGTGTCAGTAATTCAACTTGGACAACAATTACCTCCCATCACATTAATCCCATTTAGATTTATTGCATTAATTACACTGTAGTCAGTGTAAACTGAATCCCATGAATTTTAATAAGTAAAGGCATCTTACAGCCTATGATTACATTAAAGTGCATTTAAAGAATTATCAAGTAAAAGAATATACTGTCACTTCATGTTGGTCATTAAAAAAATAATATGAGTGCTAGTGTAAATTGTGAGACGTATTTAGTCACTTCTTGGTGGCAATATAATGCAATATATGTCCTTGTAAATATTTTTTATCTTTTATTTAGAACCTCATAGACAGTGCAAGCTCTGTGAATATATGCAGTATGTATTTGTCATGTAGGACAACAAACTGATTGCACAGTCACACCGGGAGGCAAGAATTACCGGTTTATTTTGGTAGGATATTAAATCTGATCTGTCAGAAAAATGTGTTTGAAAATAGAGTTTTGTACCTGTAATCTTAGTTTTGTGAGCTTGCACAGTAAAGTTTGTACCTCTGAACTTGTAGGTCTGATCTGTGCCCGCAGGCTTAATTTGTTAAGTTTAAATATTTAGGCTTTTGCAAAAAAAAAAAAAAAAAAAAAAAAAAAAAAGTTTAAACAAAATCTTAAAAAAAAAAAATAAAGCAGCAAGCAGGGACCTCAAAATGGGTTAGGGTAATTTTTTTTAACATTTTAACACAAGAGTTTACAGGCCAAAAATTAAGTTTAAGAGATAAAAAAAAAAAAAAGCCTGTGTGCATGTGTATGTGTGGGTGGGTGTGTACAAACTTTCAAAACTGTTTAAGCACACCACTAAAAATGATACCGTAGTCTATAATTTTAGTGTTAACATTTGGTTTTAGGGTTAAAGGGCCATTTTGTAATCTTTTAACCATATAGATAATTATATAGTTTGTTTTTTTTATGGAAAGAAAACATTTTTTGTGTTTTTTTTTATTATTTTAATATAATATAATATTAAAAAAATACATTATAAAAAAAAAATAAAAAAAAAAAAATAAAAAATAAAAAAAAAAAAAAATAAATTAAAATTTTTATTTTAAAATAAAAATTTTTTTTTTTTTGGTGGAGGTATGGGGGGAAGTTTAATTTTTTTTTTTTTTAAAAAAAAAATTTTTATTAAAAAAAATAATTTTTTTTATTTTTTAAAATTTAAAATTTAAAAATTAAAATTATAAAAAAAAAAAAAAAAAAAAAAAAAAAAAAAAAAAAAAAAAAACCTTCACTAGTGTAGTAGTGCAGGTCTGCGAGCAGAAGTGCCCGCTTTGCGTGTCTTGGAGTGTGTCTGAGATGAGGGGGGTCGGGTCGGGTGGGGTTTACAGTCGCCAGACTTCCTGACTCTCCCGCTGTCGGACACTTGTGAGCGCAGCGTTGGCTCTTTGTGTCTCAGCACTCTGCTCTGCAACCACAAGGTTCAAGTGACCCCACCGGCTGCCTGCAGTCTGCCCCGGGCCGGGCTGCAACAGCCCCCCCCCCCACACACACACACACACACACACACACACACACTCATGTGTCAGAGGCGAAGAAAAATCCATTAAAATCTCAACCTGATCAAAAAGACGCCCAAAGCCAAGACTCCATATGCACTCATTTAGGGCTATCGATGACTGGCGAGCATTGTGGGGTAGTTTAATACATGCGATTGACTTACTGCCAACAGTGGCAACAAAGACGGTTTTTCTACAGAGAAATAGAGCTGCGAGTTTGGCAGAGTTATTCTGGGCTGATGTGCACCTCAAGGCCATCCAGAGCTGTCAGCACGTTTCTCCAGTCTGACCATCAATAACCCACACAGCACATGGTTTCCATTCTGGGTTAAATGCATGAATGCTGAGCGCTATTGTTTGAAAGGATTGATCCCTGAATTGCAAGTGATAATGTGGTCCCACTGAATGATTGTGGTGGGAGTTTCTTTCAGGCTATTAGCATGCAAATATGGAGCTGTGACCCGACTGCTATGGCTTCGTTTTACCACCAGAAGTGTGTTTAAACGTTCCTTAAAATCAAGTCCAAAATACAGAGAGAGTAGACTAATGTTTGAATATTACTACTACTTTGTATTATGTGTACAGAACTACACTGGTGTGTGTGTGTGTGTGTGTGTGTGTGTGTGTGTGTGTGTGTGCTAAAGGATCATCATCCTGCCTTCGCCTCCAAGAGGTTGACATGTTGTCATATCTCATTTCATCTCCTTAACACCGAGTGACAACTTTGATTGAGATTTCCGTATCAATCACTCACCGCTGCCCTTGTTCGTAACTGGACCCGAACGTCT